ATAAGGTTTAAGTGGTGGGCGGATTTTTGGGGACTTTTTTAATAATTTTTTTTTAATTTTCTGAAGAAAAGGGTGTGTTTTCAGGGTATGCGGCTAACTGAACCAAAACCGATAACCGACCGGTCGGTGGTCGGCTAGCCGTTGTCTCTCTCACGGTCGGTGGTCGGTAGCCGGTGGTGGTGGTTCGGTTTAATCGAGAAATCGGTTTTTGATTAAACCAAAACCGACCGACTGACACCCCTAGTTAAGGGCAATAAAAGTAAGTTTCACTTCATAGAAACAAATTTTTACTTACCAAAATCTATCATGAAATCCATGAAACAAAAAAATGGTATTTTTCAAATCCATTATGAGCCAAAAACCCTCATATATCCATGGTTTTTCAAAATCCAAATTATACCAAAATCTTCATTTTTCAAATCCACGATGCAAACGACCCCTAAGGGTAGTTGAGCTTGAAGAAGCTTTGTCAAACATAAAGTAATCAAACAAAAACAAACTATTATGTGAGAGTTGTAGCCATGAAATATGAATTAGATGACTAACAACCTCTACTTTCATGTGATTGTAATCCTACAAGCCATACAAATTGCAAAGCTATGAAAAAGGTTATTGAATATCATGGATTCATGGTACCAATAATGTAATCAAATATTTAAGATGTTTGAATGAAAAACTTTTCTTCGTAAGATCACAAGTTCTATTTGGGGTGAGTTACGTAAAAAATGATATCATGAAGGGTTGTGTAATACTCAATGGAAAAAACCAATTATGTCATCAAATTTTTAAGATGTTTGAATGAAAACTTTTCTTTGTAAGATCACAAGTTCTATTTGGGGTGAGTTACGTTAAAACTGATATCATGAAGGGTTGTGTAATACTCAATGGAAGAAAATTGTGGTAATCAAGTATCATGTTGTGTATTATGAAGTAATTAAACGTGTTATCATTTTTTACATTTTAGTTTCAAAATTAATTAGAATTCTCAATTAAACAAGTTTTTTCCTAATTGCGCTTTTTAGAAACCACAATTTCTTTCTCTTTTGAAATTATTTTATGTTGTGGCGACAACTGAAAATAAAATTACAAATAAATGAGCCATGAGGTTGGGAAGATATACCAACTCTACATATGTGGACAGAATATATAAAGATTTTGGACACAAGTATAAATGGAGATATTAGTATAGGTAAATGTCATATTTGGTCACTGAGATTACTAAATCGTGTCATGTTTAGTCATTAGAAAAATTTAATATCAATTTTGGTCACTCGAATTACTGAAACATGTCACTTTCCTGTAGTCTCCATCCATCTCCGGTCACTCGAATTATTGAAACATGTCACATTTAGTCACTCAAATTACTGAAACATGTCACATTTAGTCACTTTCCCGTTAGTTTCCGTCACACTCCATTAATGGAATTGGACGGAACTAACGGGAGATTGACTAAATGTGATCTGTTTCAGTAATTCGAGTGACCAAATTTTATATTAAATTTTTCTAGTGATTAAACATGACACGATTTAGTAATCTCAGTTACCAAATGTGACATTTACCCACATAACATAGGTGCGGTGGCCATTAATTATAGGGGTGCGGATAGTATAACAACACCCTTACTGTTGTTATGCTAACAACAGGATTCATTAAGGGTATAAGGGTAAACTTACCTAAAATTTAATAAAATTGAAATTAAAATATATTTAGCCCACCCACCCTTCTTCTTGTCTCATCTTGTAACTCGTATATCAATTTCTTCCGCCCCTCCCCACAGTCTCTCCTCCAGCGTTGGCAGCAATCCTCTTCCGGCTGCTCAATTCTCCTCCACCACCACTCAATCCTCTTCCATCCAAGGCGTATCGTCCTCCTTCTAGCGCTGACCCCAATCGATCGATTTCAAAGGCGCAATCTTCGATTCAATTGTCTCCCATCAAATTCGGAATTTAGGTTGTGTAATCGATGATGATTGGACTGACGATAAGAACAAAGAATGGATCGGCGGAAATGGCTAGAACAGAGTCTTCTCAGGCGAGGGCACTGCTGTAGCGGGAATCGAAGGTGACGAGGGGATCCTGATCAGAAAATTCATGGGGGGAAATGTTTTCTGGGCCATCAGAGGCGGCGGCGCTGCCAGCTTTGGGAACGTCTTGCCCTGGAATCTTACCTGATGGATGTTGCGGGATCGTCTTCCATCAGCAACCTCATTTTAGTGTGTTGGAAATAGGAAGCCAAAAAAATGGCGAAAACCAGCAACACTGAGAGGGGAAAAGTCGTCGGACAAGCAGGTCCACATGCAGACTGTTACACCTCCATCGTTATAAGGGTCAAAATGACTATTATACCCTTGAATTAATTTGTCAAGATCTACCATAATATCGATGAGGATTAAAAATGTAAACTCTCGGTTCAAACGTTGTCGAATTTCTATGTAAAATGAAGGAGCTACGACCGTATATGGATAGAGTGGGTTTTACTCTGTTAATTGGGTTATTGGAGTGGGTCTGGTTTTGGATTCGTGGGCTGCCAGCTGATGATATTAACATGAATTGGGCTTAATCCTGTTATGAGAATTAAAGAGGAAGGCTGGCTTTGGGCCGTGAAAGAAAAGAAGAGGAAATAATGGTGACTGGCTGGCGGCCCGAGTGGAAAAGAGAAGGAGAAGGAGTGGGCCATAAGCCCGGGTCGTGGAAGAGAAGAAGAAAAGGAGAAGAGGGGAGCAGACTGGTGGCCCGAGAGAAAGAAGGGAAAGGAAGAAATGGGCTTCGGGCCCAGATAGAGAGAGAGGAATAGAAAAAAGAATTGGCCTAAGGCCCAGAAGGAGGAAGAGGAAATCGTTTCCTCTGGTGGCGACGGCGAAACAGAATGGAAACATCAGTGGAAGCGGTAAAGCTCGCCGGGAAAAATATGGGTAACGGAAATAATTAGAGTGTGGTAATGGAGAATGAGTGGATTGATTCCCCCCCAATAAAGAGGAACGTAAGAAAGATTAGAAAGGAGGAATCAGCCGCCCAAACCCTTTCGCTAGATCGTCTCGTCTCTCTTCCATTTCCTTCTCCAATATTGTAAACATGACTATGGCCACATCGATCTAGGAACCATGGAGAGAACTCTATTAAGTGAAAGAGGGGACAGCGACACTCAACCAGAAGCTTAACCGGAGATCGAGAGGGTAAGTGTCGAGCAAGGTTGACCGGCGCAAGATCGAGGACGGCGCAAGAGGGTGGTTGGTTTCTGATTGGTGGCGGCTGATTGACGGGCTCTATGGATGCCTCATGTGTTGTGGAGGAGTGATCCGATCAGGGTCGTCCTTTGTGAATGGACGGGCAGAGGCCAGAGGAGAGGAGCTGTAGCCTTATCGGTAGCTTTGTGGAGAGCCCGACGCCAATGACGACTGGCACACGAGAGAAATAAATCGAGGCGGCAGTGGTGGTTGTTACCTAGTGATGTCCCAAGGTGAAGAGATCAACGGGACCGGTTGGAGGAGGCTAATTAACAAAAGCGAAGGTCTCGTGCTGTGCTGTGCTGTGGTGGCGTCCCATTGAACTAGGTAAAAGAAACTGCACCCTACCTATTAATTGAAGAAACTAGCTAGGTGTGGATATATATACCGATCGAGGTACCTACAAGAATGATGGAGGAGTATGGCACGTACCTATACACGTGTTTATATTGTGATAAGCTTAGTTAATGAGGCCACAATGATTTGGTTATTTCCTTAATTAAATACGCAGGAATGGAAATGTAAGGATGGATTTGCTGGTGTGGGTTACCGAGGCATGGGAGCGAGTGGTGATGTTCAAGAAAGAAATCTCGAGTAGTCGACTTGAACTATCAGGTGAGTCTTCAAGGGGGTAAATTTTACGCCTTACGTATTTTTTAAGTATTTGCCTTACGTGTTTAAGAAGTTGTATTATGTGAAATTGTGTGCTTGCTTATGTTTATGGATGATGATGTGTGTTCTTTTGATTCATAGTTTGAAAGATATGTTTATGAGCTTTGAGTATTTAATTAAAGCTTTTATATTTCGTTTGACGATTAAGTTAAAGTGATAAGAGCAAGAGAAAGTCATAAGCAAGAATAAGTTAACCTCGCTTAGCTAGCCACTAGCTAGATGGATTCCTACCGGACGGTGATAAGTTCCGCGGTAGTTGATCACTACCGGATGGTGATACGTTCCACGGTAGTTGGTCAGGCATGGAGCCGGACGGTGATGAGTTCCGCGGTCTCCATTACCTAGATTTAGGTGTGCTACCGGATGGTGATACGTTTCTCGGTAGTCACGCCGTATTTTGACACCGGATGGTGATTCGTTCCGCGGTGGTCAAACCCATTTGAGGGGCACCCCATTTGTGAGGGTTGTCATGTTTAAGAAGTAAGAAAGTAAGTAAGGCTAGAGATCATTTGTGGCGCCAGCTAAGTCGAGGTAGGGGCCCCAACAATAAGATAAAGGAAGAACTAATACGTTTTCAACAGTTAAAGTTTAAAAGGCGGAAGTACAAACAACTTCCATAAGTTTAAGTAAGTGTTTTAAGCAAAGTGCTCGAGTATTAAAAGTAATAAACGTAAGGGCGTAGACTGAACCCAACTCACTCACCAGTTTGAAGAGCTAGAGGAGGAGATAGATGAGCAGTTAGAGAACAGCGAGTTCGAGAGGAGAAATTCAAGGGCAGCCTGCTAGAGGAGGGCATTACAAGCGTCACGGAGGATACATAGTCAAGGTTTTCAAGTAGCAGCAGTAGAGACTACATAATCATTTACATTTTATGATTATGAGTATATAGACTAGAGATCCTTTTGAGATTTTAAGTATTGAGATTTTAAGTATTGAGTTTGCTTATGTGTTTGGGCATTGCTTTGAACTACAAGTGTGTGTTTTCAGTATTTTATTTATGAAAAAATTTCCCACTGCAATTTAAGATTTGAGTATTTTATTTATCAATGACATTTTAGCAAAAGTAGTATCCGGCCGGATTAGGGTGTTACACAGACTTCTTTCCATGGCGGATCTACACCCCTCCTACAGGAAGAGCGGGAGCAAGCTCTTCGTCGGGCAGGCGCAGAGGGTTTCTCTGGCGAGGACTCTGGCCAACGATCCAGAGGTGCTGCTTCTCGACGAGCCCACCAGCGCTTTGGATCCCATTTCGATGCAGAATGTTGAAGATGTTCTAGTTAATATGAGGAACAATCGGGGAATGACCGTTGTCTGGTTTTCTTTCTTCTCCTTTGAAACTTGGTTCTGCTATTTTCTTTTTAAAAGATGGGTAGTGACATTTATGTAACTTTGTGTTTCTTCACCTGCTGCTGTTGTCGTACTGCTTCTCTGTTGCTTGATGCTTTAATATTGGGTTTGGATTGCGTAGCTAATTGGTCTATTACGGCCACGAGAACTTACCCAATCACAAATCTCCTCAAGAAAGATAAGTAAGATATGAAACCCCACAAAATATACCATATGCATATCACAAACACGGTAAAGCAAACAACAAAAAGCATACTAGAAATCTCTCAATGCATACCACAAATTTCCTAAAACAGACCGGAAACTCCACAAAGCAAACCACAATTATTTCATAAGCACACTAGAAACCTCATAATGCATACCACAAACACGGTAAAGCAAACTATAAAATGCGTACCAGAAACATCCTAATGCAGGCCACAAATATCCTAAAACATACCACAAACCTCACAAAATAAACCACACAATATTTCATAAGCACATAAAAAATCTCATAATGCAAACCACAAACACCGTAAAACAAACCAAAAAAGTAAACTAGAAATGTCCTAATGCAGACCACAAATATATTAAAACAACCCAGAAACTCTGCAAAACAAACCAAAAATTTTTTGAAAGCACACCATAAACTTATTAATGCAAACCAGTAACACAGTAAAACAAACCACAAATAGCATACAAAAAACACAAGAAACCAAATCATAAATCTCACAATGCGGACCATAATATCTGGTGGTCGTTGACCATTGACCAAACTTCGATGACCGTGGGTGACCGGATTCCGGCACCGATAAACATATTCTGACCCCGATGAATAGATTATGATGCCGGTAAGCATATTTCGATCACGATTATTGGATTCCGGCGATGGTGGGCATATTTTGGCAACAAAATAGCATATTCCGTTGACAAAAAACATATTCTGTTGACCGGAAGCCAGATTGTGGTGTCCGGTGGCCGAATTCCGGTGACGAAATTTTGGGTAGAAAATAAAAAAACATTTTTTAAATATTTACATTTTTATTAATTTATTAATTTTTATTATTATTTAAACAAAATTTATATAATGACAATTATACCCCTGCTTCGATTTTACATTAGGTCAACTCAACTAATAAAAAATCATCATATCCTTAGCTTTCTATTGGTTGAAGACTAGTGTTGTTAAAAAAAAAGGTGTTGTTATATTAACTAACTAGTCCCAAATTATAGGGATTTATTTGCTAGAGGATATATATTTAGAGACTTAAATGCTATTAACCCTTTTAAATAATTATCTCGGGTTTACTAGAGTACGGCTCGACAAAGGCAAAGAGCTCTTTCCTCTCGTCACGCTGATTGGGCCCAATTTTTTAGTAGGTCGCCAGAAATTTAAAAGAGAGAGAGAGAGAGAGCAGAGTAGGCCAGCTCTCATGGAAAGCTTTTTAATCAACCAATCTCATTCCAATTCAGTTTTAAAAAAAGGAAAAAAATTCTCCCGAGAAAGGCAGGGAGACGAAGCTTCTCTGGTTTCCGATCTCTGTAGAGATCCCCGGCGGGTATGGCGATTCTGTACGCGCTCGTGGCGAGGGGATCGGTGGTCCTGGCGGAGTTCAGCGCGACGGCGACCAACGCCAGCGCCATAGCCAAACAGATTCTCGGCAAGATTCCTGGAACTGACGATAGCCACGTCTCGTATTCTCAAGATCGCTATATCTTCCACGTCAAGCGCACCGATGGCCTCACCGTTCTCTGTATGGCCGACGAGGCCGCGGGGAGTAAGCGTTTTTGCTCTGTTCTTCTTTCCTCTTTTCCGTCTCTGCTTTCCGTTCCCGGTCAATGGCGGCGTCGATCCAGAAGCGAAATTCTATTAGAAGTAGGATTATAACTATTTTTGGCTTATACATTTCGTCAATTGCTCGGTTCGGTAGGAAGAATTCCGTTCGCGTTTCTGGATGACATTCATCTGAGATTTGTGAGAACTTACGGCCGCGGTGTTCACTCAGCTCAAGCTTACGGTATGAATGACGAATTCTCCAGGGTTCTGAGCCAGCAAATGGAGTACTACTCCAACGATCCCAATGCAGATAGGATGAACAGACTGAAAGGTGAAATGAATCAGGTAAGCTTGTCAGTGCTTTACATCAATTGTCACTTTCAATTGATGCTGTATTGCCGTGTTAGACTACGATGTTGAATTCCAACCTAACTCCAATTCAAAGCTTCTATAGCTTCGTCTATGCCATCTTACTGCCTGTTGCTCGATCAATTGGATGGCCATTATTTTTTATCTCAGCTAATTGGGTTACAATATTGCTAATCTAAGGTTCCCTTGAACTCCAAGCTATAGAATTAGCCTGATCGGTAAGCTGGTTTATGAAGTGATTGATTAGGAAATGTGGACAGTAAGTGGAAACTTACTGCTTCATTACCATCACCCAACAGATTGATTGATTGGTTCAGAATGGCGACTTGGACTCACTGACAGACTGCTTCCGATATGAACTTCCTCTTCTTAACAGTCGTGTATAATCTTCTTAAACATTGTGCAACAGGTGCGAAATGTGATGATCGAGAACATCGATAAGGTGCTAGAGAGAGGCGATCGCTTGGAGTTGCTGGTAGATAAAACAGCCAATATGCAGGGGAATACCTTCCGCTTCAGAAAGCAAGCTCGCCGATTCAGAAACACGACATGGTGGAGAAATGTGAAGCTCATGTATGTGAATCTAACCTATAATGAATGAAGTTCGTTTTAAGTTCAACGATTTGATTAAGATTTCACTTAGAATCTTTCAGTGGTTAGTTCATCCACTGATCTGTTTTCTTTCTTGTTGCAGGATTGCTCTAATAATCCTTCTCCTAGTGGTTGTATATGTCGTACTGGCTTTCGTCTGCCATGGACTTACATTACCAACTTGCTTGTAGAGAGGGCAAGTGTTGATTGCGACATTTTGATTGGTTCATCGTTTTTCTTAGTGTCAGTTGCTTGCTGCAAGTTATATTCATAACTCCTTTGGCTTTTAAGTTTGCGGTTAGATCTCGGGTTGCAGCAATGCGAAGCACTTGATCGGTAGCTCGCTCGGTCTCTTTTGCTTACACTGGCTCTGGTTCTGGTTTTGTATGAGAAACGTTGCTTGTTCAACCTTGTAATCATCATCAAGGAGTGAACTTAAATGGGTGATGTAAAAATCTGTCCTGTATTTGGTTTAGTGGTACTTTCTTTCCAATCAATGGGTGAGAACTTAAGTGGTTTTGGTTTGTAGGTTCAGTCAGTATAACCTGGGGAGATCCAGGACATCCCCCTTGTGTGCATTTTGTCTATGCCCGGAACGTCCAGAGGTAAATTTCAACAGATTCGCTTCCTAAACCCACAACTGAGTAGCCCAGGCTGTCCATGGTGATTCAAGCCAATGAGAGAAGTTTGGATTCGTCAAACTTCATTCGACAGAAGTAGTTGTACACAGCCTGAGCATCGTGCCTTCTTCAAACCCAAAGTGTTTTGAACTAGTGGTGATCAATGTGGTCATCGACAATAGAACGATGATGATCCCTTCACCCACCTTCCACCGCTCGATACACCTTGACAGTGTGCACCTCCGTCACGGGGATCTGGTAATGGTTGTGCCTTCTTGTATGCAAAGAATCATACTTCGTGTGCGATTTGTGGAACCGGTTGTTCTCAGAGTCAATGGATGGTTGTGTTGCAGCTCAATTTCAAATACCCTCCCAATTTTGGATTGACAACCGGTTCTCGCTTCAAGTCTCGGGTTGTTTGCGCCACGCTTATTCTAGAAAGAAATGTTTAGAGTGACGCCATGGATCACAGGTTTGGTATCTCCTTCGAGCTACTTACTTGTCGCGTGGGGACTGTTATCCGGGACGCCAATTTCGCTATGGTGCACATAGCTATTTTTGTATGCACGGTGCACATACGGTTGGGATGCAGCCACATCATGTAAAGCTAATCTTAATGGTTGTGATTGTTTGGCTAGAGGAAGGGCTCCAAAAAGTCTTACATAGCTAAATGAGAGCGGCTAAACTAAGCCAACCTCTCTTTTTGTGGGTCTCGTTTGCTTTTTTTCCCCTCCTCTCTCCTTGTAGGTTTTCAGTATCTCTCTCTTTTCTCTCCAAACGCACTTCCTCCTCTTTCTTGAAGATCGATCGTGGCTTTCTTCTCCACTGTCGTCGTCGCAGTCTGTTTGGTCGTTCCTCTGTTGCTCCTTCACTCGATTTCTCCTTCGTCCCCCTTGTCTCTTTCAGTAATGGTTTTCTAATGGTTTTCATCTGCAGATTTCAAATTTTCGTTTGCACACAGCCGCATTGTCTCTTGGCAGAGGAGAATCGGTAGAGCTGGCTTCACCAGACCCGACGAGACAGCGGCGGTGTTGGACGCACTGCTCATTCCGAGAAGGCCCCTAGTGCGGGTCCGTCGTCCCTGGTGCTCAGAACACTACCGTCCTCGTCGTCAAACCCACCAGGCGCTTTGGCCGCATTCTCGCCAGAAAGCTCATGCTCTGCGTCTACACTTTAAAGGTTCCTCTTCTACTTTTTTTAGCATTCTATTAATTATCTTCTCTGGTCTCCCTACTTCTTCCGACGAGTCTGAATTGGATTGGCAGTTCTGGTTTTCACGAGTTTTATTGGTTTTTTCTCGTTTGGTTTTCAATTGGTGATTTCTTGTTGATTTGAGATATGGTATGTTCTTGTTGATAACTGAAATTTTGACAATTCTCTATCTCGATGACTGAGATATGGTTTTTTTCTCGTTTGTACCCCTTTGCTGATAATCTTTGATGAATATGAGTTGATATTTTGTTGAATAGGAGTTCAAATGGTACCAAAGATGAGTTTCAAATACCCCTTAGTAGAAAACATATGTTGATTTTGTTAGAAACGGAAAGACAACAAGACAAGGATACCGAATCTGGAGCTGAGTCGCGGACTAGGTCGCTCTCTTTAAGACGTTCGCGGCACTGCCTTCGATGCGCACGACAGACTATCAACCGGTCGTCTCCAGGATAAAACAGCTCCTCTGTGTACTCGTGGTTTTGTGTGAAAACCGGAGCTCTCTGAACACTCTCTCTATTGTGTTTATGCTCGTTGTTGTGTGTTTAGAGGGGCTGGGGAGGCGGCTATTTATAGGAGCCGAACCCCTAGGAATATACCCTCTTGCTTGGGGAATAAGTCGGATTAATTAAGAAAGATAATTACTTCCTTAATTAAAACCATCGGTTAGGATAAATCCTGCGGGGATTATCCTTCGAATATTCCTTTTCAATCGATTATCCCTTAGAATATTCCTCAGAATAACCGATTAATAATTAATTATTATAATTAATTTTGTTCGGAATTTCTCCAAAAAATATGTATATAGTCTCAAGTGATCCATCCATCCAACCAACTAACCAACCGACCGACCGACCGGTCGGTCGGACGGACGGACCGCGCGCGCGCGCGCGTGTGTGTGGTGGTCCGTTAGGTCCTCCCTCTCCCACAAAAGTGGGTCACCCCAAGGGGCATGCCCTTAGGAGAGAGGCTCCTATCTTTATACTCATTTCACCATGTGAGCTATAGAATTCCTTGAAGGGATTAGAGTCATACTCTGATCCTCTATCGCTCCTAAGTCTTTTTATCTTTCGATTGCACTGATTTTCGAATTCAACCACAAATACCTTGAACATGTCAAGGGCTTCACTTTTGTTTTTCATCAAATAAACAAAGCAATAATCAGAGCAATCATCTATGAAAGTGATAAAGTATATCTTGCCAGACCTAGTTAACGTCCCATCTAGTTCACAAATATCAGAATGAATCAGATCTAAGGGTTCTGATTCTCTACTCACAGATTTATGGGGCGTTTTCGTTATTTTAGCTTGGCTACAGAAATCACATTTATCAAATTCATTCATTGAGAGTTTAGGGATATGTCCTAGCTTGCTTAAATTCTTCACAATTCGTGTGTTCACATGACAAAGACGAGCATGCCAAACGTTCAAATCACACACCATGTAAACTGAAGAATTCATCTTATTGATTTCGACATTCAACTTGAACATCCCATTACATGCATATCCCTTTCCCACAAAACTCCCATTCTTAGTAAGGGTATACAAGTCTGCCCCAATAGATTGATTAAACCCAGCCTTATTAAGAAGATATCCCGAAACAAGATTCTTCCTTATCTCTGGAGTGTGCAACACATCCTTGAGCACCATCTTCTTCCCAGAGGTGAAGTTCAGCTCCACTTCACCAGAACCAGCAACCATCGTGGTGTGAGTAGTCCCCAACAACACTTTCCTGTCAGCAGGTGCTTTTTCGTATGTTTTAAACATAGCACGATTGTTGCATACATGCTTCGATGCACCTGTATCCAGCCACCATCCTTCTGAGTCACCGGTGAGGTTAACTTCAGCGATCATCTCTGTGATCATGGCTACCAAATCCTCTTCTGTCAAGTTAACCCTGGCCGCAGCGGCGGGGTTATGCTTGTTCCTGCACTTTTTTGCCATATGATCCGGTTTTCCGCAATTAAAGCAGATAAACGGTGGGTCATTCTTAGAGGTTTGGGCCATGACCCTTTGGTTACCTCGAGAGGCACCATTCTGGTGGGGGCGGACCTGCTGGTTCTTACCCTTAAACCCTTTCTGGTTAGGTTTAAGAGCTCTAGGGGTGGGTCGTTTAGCAGTGACGACCATCACCTCTTCTTTCATATCCTGCTTGCGGGACTCTTCCTCAATCCTTAGGCGAGTAATCAAACTTTCCAGTGAAAATTCTTTGGTTTTATGTCTAAGCATATTCTTAAAATCTTTCCACGAAGGGGGCAGCTTATCAATTATGCAAGCAACTTGAAATTGATCGTCCAGAGGAATACCTTGAGAGACGATCTCGTGAGCTATTTTCTGAAGTTCGTGGGACTGAACTTCGACAGACTTGTCATCCACCATCTGGTAGCGCAGGTAGCGGCTGACAGTATACTTCTTAGCTCCAGCCTCCTCCGTGTCGTACTTCTTTTGGAGCGCATCCCAGACCATCATTGCGGTGTTCTTGCTGTCTGCATAGTAGTCGTAGAGGTCGTCTGCCAGGCCGTTGAGGATGTAATTCTTGCATAGGAAGTCATGCTCCCTTTCCTTAGCAGAAGCAGCCCTCTCCTCATCGGTCGCTTCTTCCGGCAGCTCGACGGGCATGCTGGTGAGGCAGTGTGCCAACTTCTTGGTCGTCAGGTACAACTCCATCTTTTGTCTCCGGCGACGGAAGTTGACTCCAACGAAGCGAAACGGTCGATTGATATCGACAGCACCAGATCCAGCCATGTTGTTCTGTTCAGTCGACATAGCAGCAGCCGAACGTCTTAAAATTGTTAGAAACGGAAAAACAACAAGACAAGGATACCGAATCTGGAGCTGAGTCGCGGACTAGGTCGCTCTCTTTAAGACGTTCGCGGCACTGCCTGCGATGCGCACGGCAGACTATCAACCGGTCGTCTCCAGGATAAAACAGCTCCTCTGTGTACTCGCGGTTTTGTGCGAAAACCGGAGCTCTCTGAACACTCTCTCTATTGTGTTTATGCTCGTTGTTGTGTGTTTAGAGGGGCTGGGGAGGCGGCTATTTATAGGAGCCGAACCCCTAGGAATATACCCTCTTGCTTGGGGAATAAGTCGGATTAATTAAGGAAGATAATTACTTCCTTAATTAAAACCATCGGTTAGGATAAATCCTGCGGGGATTATCCTTCGAATATTCCTTTTCAATCGATTATCCCTTAGAATATTCCTCAGAATTAATAATTAATTATTATATAATTAATTTCGTTCGGAATTTCTCCAAAAAATATGTATATAGTCTCAAGTGATCCATCCATCCAACCAACCGACCGACAGACAGACCGGTCGGTCGGTCGGACGGACAAACGGCGCGCGCGCGCGTGTGTGTGGTGGTCCGTTAGGTCCTCCCTCTCCCACAAAAGTGGGTCACCCCAAGGGGCATGCCCTTAGGAGAGAGGCTCCTATCTTTATACTCATTTCACCAAGTAAAACTACCAATGTGGTAGTTTTTCCACTTGAGACTCTATAGCTTTCAAAGCTATTCATACACATTTCCAACAATCCCCCACTTGAATAGTTTTGAAACTATCTCTGAGCATCAACAGTTCCATAAGATCGGGCATAAGCTAAGGTATCGCGAAGACTTGAACCTTAGCGTAGTGGTTACACTTCCGATTTCATAAGGGTGACTCGTAGTCTTGAACCCTATCTCAGACAGTGTAGCACACCAGATCATTTCATTGAGTTGTGTTCTCTTCTTAGCCCGTGCGTTTATGGCCATGCACGTTATCCTGGTTTAGTGAATGCTCTAGCAACTTTGTGCCTCTCAAAGTTCCATAGGGAGCGGCCCCACTCCCACATTCACATAGGTGAGTCTATCAGGAGTACCCCCAAAGTAAAGTACTCCACCCCACATAGGGTATAGATCTCATTAAGAGTTATTAACTCAACATCCATTGCTTTGGGATTCATGCTTCATTATGCATGAACTTTTCGCATACTACTCATGACTTGTTATTACCCATTGAACCCATTTCTTGGGATCTCCAGTCTATTGGGTCGGGTTACCATCACTTGTAGTCCGTGGTTCTGTAGGCATAAGTCCCATACCCTTGGCGGTATTCTGGACTTTCTCTCTAGGTAATCCTTTTGTCAAAGGATCAGCTAGATTCTGTTCGGATCT